CTCTGAGTCCCGGGAGGCGCGCGCTGTCAATCCACCTCAGAGGGGAAACCAGGCCCGCGGGCGCAGAGATAGTGCTGAGCACGACGGGGGCTTCCGGGGGCGCCGGCGTTACACTGCGTGCGGGGCCCCGGAGCCCCGCCCGGCCCCGCCCACCCCCGCGGGGCGGAGCTTCCGGGCTGCCCCAGCCGCGGTCGGCGCGAGGCCGCGGGGAGTGGGGTTGCCCTCCCGCAGACACAGGTTCGTCTGGCTGGAGTGTGTGTGTGCACCTCTGGCTGGGTGGGGTAGGGCTGCCCAGTGGCCCAACTCCACTATTCCCGTGCTGAGACCTGGGGAAATAGTTTGCGCTCTCTTACCTCTGTTGGCCACTCCGTAAGTGGGGACAGTAAATACAGTGGCCTCAACTGGTGGTCGTGAGGCTTCAATGAGCGCACGCCTGTGAAATGCTTGGCACTGCCCTCTCCTCGCTTTGTGCAACACAGGGAGGACAAAGCTCACCCACCCCCAAGCGGCCCTTTCCCACGGGTCGACAGGAGCGGCCGTTCACTTGAAACCCGGCTCACCGAGGATCTTCACCAACCAGCGGCTCTCCTCAGCGATGCCCCCACGTAAACCGGGCTCCAGCCTCGCTCCTGGCCCTGCTCCTACCCCTCCACTGCGCGCTAACGGGGCAAAGCCAGCCCTGAGGGCTGGGGTCTCCCATCCCTTCCACCATCGCCATCGAAACCACTTGGCCAGCAAATCCAGGTGGGGAAGGAGGGTGAGACTGGAGGGAGGGAGGGAAGCTGCTCTGGGATGGAGTAACCCACCCGGTAAGGGGCGGCAGCATCCAGGGCCTCCTGACTGCCTCCCTCGAGGACACTAGACACGGCGCGCTCCCGTGGAAGGGGGCTCGGACCCTGCAAGCGCCCTGGGCGGCGCTGGAGGTGCTCCCCCCCCCCGCCCTTTCTTCCCGTCCCTGAGGTCGCCCCGACGCCTCCCTCACCAGGGCACGGCTGTCGCAGCAGCTGCACAACGGTGACATTGGTTAGGATGACGTCCCGTTTCGACATGGCCTCCTAAGGTTTCATGGCCCAGATGTCCCTAGACCCAGCGGTAGTGTTACTGCGATGTGATGCGGGACGCCGGGGCTCCCGGGGCTGGAGCTGTTTGCGGTGACGTCACAGTGCCCAGTGACGTCACAGAGGCCCCATCCCAGTCGATGCCTGTGACTTTGGCGCTGCTGTTCCAAGGCCACCCACCGAGGTCTAGAATGGAATCCAGATTTTGCGATGGTCCTCAAAGCCCTTTCCTCTCTCCTCTCTCTCCCTTGGCACACTGGCTCCGTGCTGCTCCTTGACCCTACTCTGCATAGTTACCCTAGCTGGCTCCTTTTGCTAGGAAAGCCCTGCGAAGCTCTTCCCTCAGCTGCCTCTTAGTTTCCCTGAGATGTCCCTTTCAGAGAGGCCCTCCTGACTCCCCATCGAAAGTTTTCTTCTTTCTCAGTCACCATCCGCTGACACTCCACCCACCTCAATCGACCCATCTTCCAGGAAGCCTTGTTTGACGTCCTGTCCTGGGTTACATGTTCCAATGTGCCACACCTCTCCAGGGTGACGGTCTCCATGTTTCTGTTTCCTCACAGAATATGTCTCTCTCGAAAACTCATCTTGTTTATTCATTTGTTTTCTTGCCAGTTGTCTCTGCCCACGGGCCTGTAAGCTCTGGGAGGGCAGAGTGCTTGTCACCTTCGTCACTTTTATGTCCTAGTGACTAGAAGGATATTTGGCACTTGGAGGGTGCTTGCTCAATAACTAATACCAGGATGAATGAGTAAATGTCGCCTCCTCAGGTTTCTTCTGACCCCAATCTTACAGCGACTTCCAAGTCCTAGGCTCTCACAGTGCCTCGTTTTTTCCTTGTGGCTTTTTAGGTAGTTTGTCATGATCTAGTTCTTGATGGATTTGTTCACCGTCTCCCCGGTGGGCTGTAAGCCCCCAGCAGGGCATGCATTGTTGTCTGTTTTGCTCACCACTGGGCTTCCAGCACCTAGAACTGGGCCTGGCACAAAACAGGCTCTCACTGAACGGGGAAGAGCAAATGCTGTGACAGATGGCCCCCTTCCCCTACAGCCCTGGCGGTGGGGGCTTGCTTGCACATCTGTGACTCACAGGCAGGCACCTTCACCTGCAGGGCCAGGTGACACACAGCTGTGACCAAGATTTAGGGGATGTGGGGGTTAGGGCCAGGAAGGAGTCACCAGCCCAGAGGGAGTCGTGGAAGCAAGAAGGGGCAGAATGACATAACCTCTTCCTTCCCCAAACCTCCATGGGAGCTCAGTTCACCAAGCAAACAGATATTAATAAAACAAAGGGAGACAAACTTGACATGTACCATCAAGGAGGGGAGGACGGACCACACGAATAAAACCAGGACTGAAAATGGGCCCATTTGGTACAACTTTACAATCATAGGTATGAAAAGCTAGATGCAATTAAAAATTTTCCTAGAAAATATAAAGGATCAAAACTGGTGCAAAAAGAAATGGCGAATCTGAGTAGGCCAGTAACAAGAAAGGAAGCCATGAGTGAAGATTTGTCCTCGCAAAGGCCAATTCAGATTCAGACGATTTCACGGGCAAGATCTGCCGAACCTCGGGAATGCGTGCCAGTCTCCAGGAACCGTGTGGATCTCCACCGGGGCTGGGCAGCCCAGCGGCAGCTCCTGGGTGAGAGGCTCTGGGCCGGCACGTGCTCCGAGGCCTGCAGATGGGCAAGCACACTGTGTGTCCTTAGGTCACTGTGATGGCTCGGCCACTGAAACCTCCCCCGCTCACTCTAGGGAACCGGCACAGCCACCTTACCACAATCAGCAGAGGATGCAAGGAAAGGACAACAGCTCCAGGCCAGGCTCACTTATGGAGCCAGATGCCAAAGCCCTGAGTCAAACAGTGGCAAATGGGAATGGGGGGAATGGGGAGAAGGCCTGAGGCAGACGGAAGATAGTCGGATGGGACAGAGAGGGCTGGAAGAGAGAAGTGGAGCACATTTCAAAAACAGAAAGCCACCTTGCAATCTTGGGGCAGATTAGGGTTCTGAAGCTCAGCCCCCACCCTTCCCCACCCCGCAATTGGGCATGGGAAACTCCCTCATTTAGGCACTGCACAAGGGCACAAAAGCCACACCCGAGGTTGCCCAGAGATTGCTCTGTCCCTGGAGTGTGAAACTGGGAAAGAGATTTGATGAGCTCAAGCTTGGAGCTCAATTAGTCACCCTCCCTAGGCAGACCCTAGAGCAGGCAGAAGCTCCTGGGTCTCTGGGCCTGGCTGCAGCCCAGTGTCCAGGATCTGGGGTGGAATGCTGGGTCCTGCAAGGGGAGTGGGCCTGTTGCCCTTGTTTGAGCAAAGCCTGATAACTTGTGCAGATTCTCACCACGCCTGGGCACCCACAAACATACCTCTGCCACCCCCACTTGCTCACACCCTACACATTCCTTCCTGCATGGCCCTCCCACCAGAAATCCCACCTCCACTCCATCTTTCAGTCTCTCCCCTTGGCACCAAAACCCAAATATCTTTCACCCTGCACAACTGAACCCACCCACTGGCTCTCATTCTTCTGGTCTCCACCTCCCTCTGAACCTGCTCCAGGTAGGGGTGCTGCCTCAGACCTACCAACCACCACCTGCCCTTCCTCATGATGCCCCTCTTCACACCCAGGCCAAACTGACCGCTGTTTCCCCCTCCAACCCGTGTCACTATGTCACACCTAGGGTCTCAGGTTGGAACCTAGGAGGCACGAGGGGGAGGAGGGCAGGAAGGGTGAGCTCCTGGCCCCCAGCCCAGACTCCGGCTGACAGTCTCCTGCTGCCCCTGATCTTTGGCCCCTCCCCGTGGCTGCCTCAACCGGCTTTTCAGGAGACACTGCGTCCTGTCCCAGCTCATGGCAATCAGCCCCCTGCCCTTGCCTGGGGGCTGGGAGGCAGGAGGCCAGGATTCTGTGATGAGGATGTGATCCTGGCCCTAGAATCTGCCACCCTCCCCAAGGGACCCTAGGCTGCTCTGGAGACCCAGGCGCCCTTCCCTCCAGCACCCAGGAGACTCAGGCTCAGGCCTGTCCTCTCCTCCCTTGGCTTCTTCTAGTCCATCCTTTATTCAATCTATAAATATTTACTGAGCCCCAGGCAATGTTTAGAAGCTGGGGATATAACAGTGACCAACACAGGCAAAGGCCCTGTCTTCTGGAAGTTTACAATCTAGTAGGTGAGACAGACAATAAAAAAGATAATTTGGGATTGTGGTAAGTGCTATGAAAACAACAGGATGATATTACAGGATATAACTGGGGGACGGCCAGGGAAGGTTTTTTGAGGAGGTGACATGTGAGCCAAGAACAGAATGAGGAGGAACGCATCATGTGAAGATTCGAGTTCTGCATTCCAGGCAGAGGACAGCAAGTCAAAGGCCATGAGGCAGGAATGAGCTTGGTGTGTTTGAGGACCAAGGAGAAGGCCTGTGTGGCCGGCGCATAGTAAGTTGGGGGGAGGCGGTCAACAAGAAGCATAAGAACAAGGTCTGATGACTCCCTCAACTCCCCGAGAGTGATCCCCTCCTGCTGACTGCGCCTCCCCTCTTTACAGACTCTCACTGCTGGGGAAGCTGGATCCCCAGATGCTCTGAGAGGAGTGAAGATGCTGAAGAACAAGGCCTGGGTCCCAGGGATGGGGGTGATTGAAAGTGGGGCTGGGAGAGAGGAGGCCTGGAGAGTGGATGAGGAATGAAAAGAGGAGATGGATAGAAGGGCAGACATTTGGGCTCCAGGGTGGAGGGCCCAAGCTGGGCAAAGAGCAGAGATACCATGTAAGTCTTCTCCATTCATGACTCACCCTCTCTTCCTCCTTCTTTTCATTGCTCAACCCCAAATCTCCCTGGGAAATACCTCCCCGACTAGGGACCAAGTCAGTGCCTCACAGGGGTAATTGAGTCATGAGGGGTGGAGAAGAGGGAGGGAGGCGGAGGATAAATAGCAGCTCTGCTTCCCTGGCTCCTCTCTGCGTCCTCCCTGCCCTGCCAACAATATGCGGCTTGCCAGTTTGGTCAGCTCCTGCTCCCTCCTACTGCTATTGGGGGCCTTGCCTGGATGGGCAGCCAATAATGATCCGTTTGAGAAGGTCATTGAAGGAATCAACCGAGGGCTGAGCAATGCAGAGAGAGAGGTGGGCAAGGCCCTGGAAGGCATCAATAATGGAATCACTCAAGCCGGAAGGGAAGTGGAGAAAGTTTTTAATGGACTTAGCAACATGGGGAGCCAGGCCGGCAAGGAGCTGGACAAGGGCATCCAGGGGCTCAACCACGGCTTGGACAAGGTAGCCCATGGGATCAACAATGGCGTCGGACAAGCAGGAAAGGAAGCAGAGAAGTTTGCCCATGGGGCCAACCACGCTGCTGGACAGGTTGGGAAGGAGACAGACAAAGTGATTCAGGGGGCCCATCATGGGGTCAACCAGGCGGGAAGTGAGGCGGGGAGGTTTGGCCAGGGAGTTCACCATGGGGTCAGTGAGGCCTGGAAGGAGGCTGAGAAGTTTGGTCAAGGGGTCCATCATGCCGCTGGGCAGGCTGGGAAAGAGGGAGAGAAAATAGGCCAAGGTGTCCATCATGGAGTTAACCAGGCTGGGAAGGAGGCTGAGAAGCTTGGCCATGGAGTCCACCATGGAGTTAACGAGGCCTGGAAGGAGGCTGAGAAGTTTGGTCAGGGGGTCCACCATGCCACTGGGCAGGCTGGGAAAGAGGGAGAGAAAATAGGCCAAGGTGTCCATCATGGAGTTAACCAAGCTGGGAAGGAGGCTGAGAAGCTTGGCCATGGAGTCCACCATGGAGTTAACGAGGCCTGGAAGGAGGCTGAGAAGTTTGGTCAGGGGGTCCACCATGCCGCTGGGCAGGCTGGGAAAGAGGGAGAGAAAATAGGCCAAGGTGTCCATCATGGAGTTAACCAGGCTGGGAAGGAGGCTGAGAAGCTTGGCCATGGAGTCCACCATGGAGTTAACGAGGCCTGGAAGGAGGCTGAGAAGTTTGGTCAGGGGGTCCACCATGCCGCTGGGCAGGTTGGGAAAGAGGGAGAGAAAATAGGCCAAGGTGTCCACCATGGAGTTAACCAGGCTGGGAAGGAGGCTGAGAAGTTTGGCCATGGAGTCCACCATGGAGTTAACGAGGCCTGGAAGGAGGCTGAGAAGTTTGGTCAGGGGGTCCACCATGCCGCTGGGCAGGCTGGGAAAGAGGGAGAGAAAATAGGCCAAGGTGTCCACCATGGAGTTAACCAGGCTGGGAAGGAGGCTGAGAAGTTTGGCCATGGAGTCCACCATGGAGTTAACGAGGCCTGGAAGGAGGCTGAGAAGTTTGGTCAGGGGGTCCACCATGCCGCTGGGCAGGCTGGGAAAGAGGGAGAGAAAATAGGCCAAGGTGTCCACCATGGAGTTAACGAGGCCTGGAAGGAGGCTGAGAAGCTTGGCCATGGAGTCCACCATGGAGTTAATGAGGCCTGGAAGGAGGCTGAGAAGTTTGGTCAGGGGGTCCACCATGACGCTGGGCAGGCTGGGAAAGAGGGAGAGAAAGTGGTCCAGGGGGTCCATCGTGGAGTTAACCAGGCTGGGAAGGAGGCTGAGAAGTTTGGCCATGGAGTTTATTACTCTTCAGGGCAGGCTGGGAAAGAGGGAGACAAAACAGTCCAAGGTGTCCATCCTGGGGTGAACCAGGCTGGGAAGGAGGCGGAGCAGTTTGGCCAGGGGGTCCACCATGGGGTCAATGAGGCCTGGAAGGAGGCTGAGAAGCTTGGTCAGGGGGTCCACCATGCTGCTGGGCAGGCTGGGAAAGAGGGAGAGAAAGTGGCCCAGGGGCTCCATCCTGGAGTTAACCAGGCTGGGAAGGAGGCTGAGAAGCTTAGTCAGGGGGTCCACCATGCCGTTGAACAGGCCGGAAAGGAAGCAGACAAAGTGGTCCAAGGGGTCCACAATGGGGTCAACCAGGCCGGGAAGGAGGCAGAGAAATTTGGCCAAGGGGTTCACCACGCTGCTGGCCAGGCCGGAAAGGAAGCGGAGAAGCTTGGCCAAGGGGTCCACCACGCTGCTGGCCAGGCCGGAAAGGAGGCGGACAGGTTGCAGCAGAATGTTCATAATGGGGTCAACCAAGCCGGCAAGGAGGCCAACCAGCTGCTGAATGTAGGTGAACAGCGGTGGGGAGATGGGGAGAAGGGGCTGGGGAAGGGGGAGGTTAAACCCTTGGGACATCTTGGGAGTCCACATAGCCTTCATGTAGTGAAAGAAGCTTGGGAAGCTATGTAACCGTGTCCTCCTTCCTCTGTCTCCCTTACAAGGGAGCTGGTGGTCAGCTAATCGGACAGATCAAGCCATCTTATCCGCAAAGCCCTATATCAGACAGTGTGGACAGGACCCAGCCCCATCTTCAGGGAGCTGCCCTCCCAGTTAAGGAGGTCTACAGGGAGGCATCGGAAGCCTCTTCTGGGGAACAGGAAATAGTTACTGCGCCAAGATCTATTACAGTGCAAACAGTTGAGAAACCAAGAGCATCATAGTGAGCATGAGGAACAGCTTTTGGAGATAAGCCCTCCTCTGTCTAATTTTCATGACAAGCCTCTGAGGTAGTCAGGGCGAGGATGCTGACTCCCTGATTCTCAGATAAGGAAACAGAGTGCAGGGAGGTTGAAGGGACTGCCAAGGTCCTGTGGCCAGCACACAGCTTTGGCGAATCGAAGGTCAGGGTTCTTTCTCTTCCTCCACACTGCCCCATCAGAGGAGGTCTCCTGGAGGACTTCTGATCCCCATTTATGTAGAGGGAACAGATCCTGAAGACTGCAAGAGGCAAGCAGTGCCACACACAGCAGACCAGGCACCACGGAAGGGCTTGGGGAACAGGAGGTGACTCCTGCCTGCCCCAATTCCCCATCGTCCTGTCTCCATCAGGAGTCTTTGGGACACCATCTTGAGGACTGGCCCGGACTTCAAACCCATAGTCACATGGTGGTGGGTGGGGAGGAAGGGACCAAGCAGAAAGTGTATCCAGTAGGGAAGGGCTCGGAGTCAGAGCGCAGGATTCAGCGGGTAGAGGCCTGGAGAGGGCAGCTGTTGCCGGACTCCAGCTGGCGGCAGCAGCAGTGGGGGAGGCACTGCTGAGTGTCTGGGGACAGGATTAGTCAGAGCTGAGGGTCAGGCTAGAGTGCGTGTAGAAGGTGTAGCTCTGAGGTCAGGGCTGCGGTTACTTGGGTCCCGGTCCTTGCACTGGTCCTCAGGGCCCCTTCCAGCCAGGCCCCTTTGCAGTGACTGAGAGCATCTCAGGAACCGAAATCAAAGGGAATCGAGGGAACACTGGTCAGGAGGGGCAGATGTCCTTCGTGGCTTTTCTTCCCATCTCTCACAGAATTCCCACAGCAACATGCGCTTTGGGTTTTCTTTCTGGTCAGTGAGGGGGCCAGGGGTTAGCCGATGCCTCCCGCCCCAGCCCCAGTCACCCCAGAGGGCAGCAGATTGTTGGGGAAAAGGAACTTGGGAGACCCTCAAGGGCCGAGGCATTGTAACGACGATCTGGGCTTCATCCACAGGGCGGTCATCACGGCGGTTCCACCGGCCAGACCGGAGGGGCCGCAACCACATTAGCATCTGGAGTGAGTCTCTGGGGCACAGCATGAGCTCAGAGGTGGGAGAGTGGGCGCCCTCCTAGGGTGGGGTTGGACAGATGCTGGGGACTGACTCTCTTTCCTTGAATTCCAGGCCTCGGTCAACAAGCCCTTCATCAACCTTTCAGCTCTGTGGAGGGTGAGTGCTGCCTGTTTTCTACGTTCTGCTCTCTGCCTTGGGAGATATCCTTCCACCCCCTTCGCATGGCCGGTTCACAGACAGCTTCACTGTGGACAGACTCTCGGCCTTTGCAGAGACAATCTAACCCACTTCCCAGCTCTGGTTTTCCCTTTCTTCACCTGTTCTTTGCCCTTCGAATCCTGCTTTCATCTTTCAGGTGCTTTCCATTCCCACCGAGGCAAACAAGCTGGCAGAAAAGACCTCCCGGCCCACATGCATCTGGGCGCCAGGGAGGGGGGTGCTGCTGAAACATCCCCTCCGTGTGCCCATCCTCTCCTCGTCCTCTCCCCTCCGATTCTCATCCCTCACCCGCTGTGACCCCTGCTGCCCTGCAGCACTGTGCTGGGTGGCGGGACCCTGCAGCTCTGTCCTTTCCTGGGAGGATAGGGCTCCCCCAGGATAAATGCTCCTGTGGCATCCTGGTCCTCACTCTGGGCCCAAAGTAAAGACCTAGCTCTTCTCTTTGCATTTAGTACATCAGCTGCCTGAGCCTGGGGCGGAAGGGTGAGGCTGGGTCACAGGCCCATAAACTGTACTTGGAAGCCAAACGCGTCTCCTCGTTTACTCTCGGGCTCTAGGGGACACTCTGAGGCAAAGCGGACAAGTCTTCTCGGTTCCTACAGAGACCCTGGCACCTCTGCCTGGGAGGGCTGGCTCCCTGTTTTTCCTGAATCTAAGTGCCACCTTCCTTAGGGTATTCCCCAGAACATGAGCAATTCCTGGGCCAGAGCAGCCCTTGTCCCTCTCCGTTCTCTAGGGGGCTTGAGGGCAGAGGTCTTGGCCCTCAGGACTGTGTGCCCTGCATTCACTCTCTCTCTCCTTCTCTCCTCCAGAGTGTCGCCAACATCATTCCCTAAATTGAGGTCCTGGCCTTCCTGAGCAGACACGTTCCTGTTGTCACATCAGTCGAGATGACCTGGAGGAGCTGGGGGTGGGGGCTGGATTTCTGGAGTCCCCTGGGGGCTCTACTGAGACTTGTGAATAAATATGACACATGTACTCTCCTCATGGTCCTCTGTGCTCCCTAAGGAGGGGGCGTGGGGGAAGGCTGGTCTTTTCTCCTCTTGCTCCTCTGCCGAAGTTGCTGGGGGTCTGATCTAAGGCACAGGATGAGTCGAGCTGGAGACTTCAGGCTGGTCAGATCTAAGAGGGTGGTTCCAGGGACACGCCATGCCTCCCTGGTGTGCAAAGTTCCTGCTGGGCACCAGGAGGAGCATCGGGCAGGGCCAATCGTGGGGGCAGAAGCACCAGGGAAGAGAATGGCGGACACCTAGGTAGAGCCCGAGGGGCGGCATCCTCATTCGGGGGCATGGCCCCAAAGGAATGACAACAGCAACCTGTGTTTACTGGGCAGTGTCGGTATGCTGGGCTCCCTGCTGGGTGCTTCCCGTGCATGATGTCACTGAAGCCTCCCAGCCACCCGGTTAGGTAAGAGGTCCTGTTCTGGCCCCATTTGATGGAGAACATATGGTGGCTCCCACAGGTTAAGAAACAAGAGCAAGTCACATAGTCAGTGAGGGGAGGGATTAGCAGCCTCAGAACTACAAAGGAGATGCCGAGACTTCTCCTGTTTGGCATCAGCAGGGAGGGGAGGCACGTGTGGCAGATCCTTGAGTGAGGAGGCCAGCCGATGGCAGCGGGGACAGCCTCTTTACGATGACAGGAATGGTGACGCCGCAGGCCTCGTTTTTGGATCTGCATGTGACTCGGAGCCCGAGGGATCCTGAGAGCCACTACTGTGTACCGAGGATTCCCTAGGTCCCCGGGACTGTGCGAAGAGCTGGTTCTGCTCTATACCTGTGAAAGCCTCCCAAGCCCCGAAGGCAGAAGTCCTCTTATGATCTCCATTGTATGGACGGGGAAACTGAGGCTCAGAGGAGCCAGTGCACTCACCTGGGGTAACCCACGAGAGAGCGGTAGGCCTGACTCTCGCCAGAACCTGACGGTTCAGAGTTGGCTATAAAATCTGTAGAGTGCCGGCCGCACCTGGCCTGCTGCCGGGCCCGCATCCCACGCAGCACTGTGGGCCTGTGGGCGGCTTGCTGCCCCTCTTTGTGCCCCTCTTTGTGCCCCTTGGGGCCACAATTCCCTCCGTATAAAGGGGGTGGGGTGTCCGCAGGGGAGGAGTACAGCATGGCTTCCAGCTCCCAAATTCCATCAATCGTGGGACCAGAAATAAGAGACCAAAAATTGCCCTTGGGGCATTCACAGGCGTCGCAGGGAGACTAGGCACATAAACAGAATATGACAACAAATACAAAGTGATGCACCAATGAGGACCAAGGGACAAAGCAGCAGGGGCGGGGCCGGCTGTGCAGTGAAGGCGACCTTCCTGACACTTTTGTTCACTGTGTTTTTCCTTATTTGTAGAATACCATCGTTTTTATCACATATGTTCCTCCCCTCCTCCTACAATATTTTAATTGGAAAATATTTCAAACATACCATAAAGATGAAGGAATTTTACTGTGGATACCTGCATACTGACCAGTTCAGAGTTTCCCGTTTGCATTTTGCTGTGTTTGCTTGATGAGGCATCTATCCATCTAATCACATATCGATATGTTTTTGATGCATTTCAAAGGAAATTGCAGACATCTGTTTCCGGCATTTTAATAAATAGAAGCATTCGATCATATCTCTCATTTGTCGAGGGTTTACGCTGTGTGGACATCGTTTCATACAGACTGGAGTCCCTTCTGAAAAGGGAACAGTCAAGGGAATTATTCTTTCATGAAGGAAAAGCTTTCATTGGTTTTATCTGTGTGCACGCTTTCTTGCTGGGTTTGCTTGGACGGGGGTCCTGGAAGTGCCAGAGAAATGGGACAATCATGTGTGAAGGGTCCATCCTGGAGGCTTCTGGAAAAGAAGAGCTTAGCTGGTTTGGAAGGGTAAATGGGGCACGGCTCACTCCTGCCTTGAGGCCCAGCATGCTGTCCTCTGCTTGGAATACTCTCCACGCCTCTCTGTCCCCGTGTCTGCTCCTCCTGACCCTTCAGGTCTCAGCTCCCTTGACCACCCAGCCCAGACAAAGGGCCCCCTTTGTTATTCTCTCTCCCCATACACTGGTCTTTGCCTTCACGGTGCTTATGGCAATTGGTAATTATGTCTTTACTTGTTTTATATGCATTTCCCCCTAGACTAAGAGGTTCAAGAAGAGAGGTCAAGGCAGGCACAAATGTCTGGTGACTGGCAGAGGGAAGGCCACTGACCTGAGCAGACGTGAGAAAGGATGTGGAGTAAGTGTGAGGTGTGAGCCAGAACCAGGCCCCCGGGACAGACAGGTGGAGCCAGCCTAGGCAGTGAGGAAGACAGGACAGCCAGTCTCTCAGATGTGGAAGAGCAGGGAGAGGAGTTTGGGTGGGACCCTCACGGCTGTCTTTTATCGGGTGCGCGCTGTGTCTGTGCTGAGCACTTACAGATGTGATTCACTCCGTTCTCACAACTTCCCCATGAGGCAAGTTCCATGATTACCCCCTTAGAGATGACGAAGTTGAGGCTCAGAGAAGGAAGAAAGGTCCCTGAGGTCACCCAGCTAGTAGGCGGTGACGGCTGTCCTCTATTCAGAGCACTTCCCTGCAGTGACCTCTGCCAGTGAGGGGAACACTTCCCTGCGACCCTTGGGTAGGGGGCTACTTCAAAATAAATCCTGCTTTTGGCAGAAACTTAAGTTTCTCCTTCTGAAAGGAGGTGTGCGCGCATGTGTATATGACTCAGAATTGAACAACTGCCAAGAAAGTATGCCAACAATACCGACATGCCCAATGCTGCCAAGAACATGCAGTGAGCGCTCCTGTGTGCCGGGCACTGTGCTGAGCTCTCTGCAGGTACTGCCTCATTTAACCCTCACGGTCTCCCCTCTGACAGACAGGAAACTGGTGCACAGAGGGGTTAGGAGCATGTCTAGGAAGTGCTGGCATTAGGATTTGAACGTAGGCTCCCCGGTGGACACTGTGGACAGGGTGAGCCAGGAGATGCCAGTCTGAGGCCCCGGACCCCACAGAAGGGAGCAGAGACAGCACAGACCCAAGCCTCGTCTCCTCCCTACACTTGAGTCCAGCTGCCATCCTCCCCCTGAAGCCTCCTCCCTGGTCTCTGTACTCCCCCCGCCCCCTAATATTTCCCAGAGGAACCCTGTTGCCACCTGAGTCAGATCACAGCCTTCCCCAGCTCAAAGCCCTCTGCTGCTTCCACCCCATTCAGAGTAAAAGTCAAAGTCCTTATAATGGCCCCTAAGGCCCCATGATCCGGCCGATTACCTCTTTGACTTCAATTCCTCCCTGCTCTAGCCACAATGGTCCTCCCAGAGAGTAAGCAGGCTTCTGCCTCAGGGACTTTGCACTGCCGTTCCCTGGGCTTGGAATACTCTATCCCCAGCCTGTGGCTCACCCTCTCACCTCCTTTGGGTCTCAGTTCATAGGTCACACCTCAAAGAACCCTTTCCTAACCACCCTATTTAAAATGCCCTCTCCATCTTCTCTGTTCCTTCACCCCACTGTGTTTCTCTGCATAGTGCTCATCACCACCTGAAATGTTTATTGTCCAGCTTCCCCCACAACGAATGAGACTCCCCAGGGAGTGACTGTGATGATCTTGCTCTGTGCTGTATCTCCAGGGCCCAGACGGGCACAGTACAGAGAAGGTGCACAACAAATGCTTGTGGAGCGACTGAAGCAGCGAATTTGAGAGAAAAGCTGGGATGGGAGGGTCCTGGGCATGATGTGGGCACGTCAGACCCGTGGATGCGGTCACGCACAGGAACAATGGAGGCACAGTGACGTAGGAGCAAAAGCTGCTGGCAGTCAGACAGACCTGGGTCCAACTCCGACGGCTCCATTTTACGATGACTTTTCACGCAGACCTTGTGTGTGTGTAACAGCCCTGGGCCTCAGTTACCTCATCTGTAAGATGGGAATAATATCTACCTCTGGAGGTTATGGTGAGGGTTGAATGAGACCACGCATGTCAAAGCACCGCGGCTTCTATGTGGGTCACAACCGGCGTTTAATAAATACGCCTTAAGACTGAGTTGAGGTGAGCCCTCAGCTCCAGAGACGTCTGAGGGCAGTTTCTCCAAGAAGCTAGAATGTGGCCCTGCTGGTCACAGGGAGGATTTAGGTGGTTTGTGCACATGGCTTTGAATAAGTCTGAATTGCACAGTGAGAAACTTACTATTTTCTCAATTTGTTTTGGAAGCTTTCTGATTCTGTTAAAAAGGAAGACTCGATTTCTATGCTGGCATGTCTTGAACATCTCTCTCATGCTTGCTAATCTCCCTTTTGAACAAGGAGGGCACAGTAATACCATGGTAAGAACTGTTGGCTTCTCACTATGTTTTTCTGGTACTTTCTATTTAGGGCAAGTGATGCTGGCTTTCCACTGACAGTAGAGATATCAAGTATTCTCTTAAAATATTCTTAAGCAAGTAAGCTGGCTTAAAGGAAAGCGTTAGTAACAGAGAAGGGCAGGGCAGACATACGCCATTGTGAAGGTGGTGGCCCCCGAGGGAGGTGAGTGTGGGAAGGGGTCTTCCAGTCGTGGACGCTCCACTTCCTGCCCTGTGGGAGTGGGAGGCAGCAAGCTTGGGCTGGGGTCTCCATCACCAATCCCATAGGCCTCGCATTTACTCCCGCTCCTCCCCTACACGGTCCCAGGGCAAGATCCAAACCAATCCTCTCCAGGGAAGAATGAGCGCATTTTGAAAAGTGGGAGGTTGGAGACAATGAGCTGACAGGAGATGCCGGGAGCCGGGGCCTGGGAGTGAGGCCTGCCTGGGCTTGGCTTTGGCTCTGCCACATCCTTACCATGTCCTCTCCAAGCCCTGAGTTCCCTGTCTACAAATGGAGGCATAATAAGACTGATCTCCCAGGGCTGCCTGAGCCTTCAAGTGCCTAGTCCCATACTGGGCCCACAGAAAGCCCTGGACCAACTGAAGCTTCATGATGAGGATGATTACCTCTGCCATTATTACCATCATCAGAGTCAGAAGTGGAATAACAGGGAGGCAGGAGCTGCGGAGGACAGACAGGGATTGTGTTTACCTGGTTAGAGGTGCTGGCTGTTACAAGTTGGGGTGCGGGTGTTGGGGTGGAGAGAGACTGACTGAGAGGCATTGAGAAAGGCGGATGGAAACTGGCCCCTCCTAACTGGGTGCTGAGTCCCGGTGATACGAGGCAGTGCCAAGTGGGAGGATCTGGGACTCCTGGCAGTGGAGAGCAGCCACGCTTGCTGAGCAGGGATGAGCCCTGGGGAGGATGACCGAGTTCTGCATCCTGAGCTGGGACAAGGAGAGAGCCGGGTGGCTGACCGAGCGCTCCTGCCTTTGTGCTGGCCCTGCTCCCTTGCTGGCTGCCCTGGCCCCTGGGGGATCTGGGGGCTGGGTGGGGTGAGCTGGTGCGGTCCCAACCCTCACAGGAGACCTCGGGCTCACACGCATGCCCCCTCCAGCCGGGTAAACAGGATGGATGCCTGGGTCAGCTGCTCCCTCCCTAGGTCTCTCCTTCCCACTCATTCCCTGGGGGAGGCTGGCCCGCCCAGCTCCATGCTCCACGCCCAGCCTCCTCAGCTAGGAGCAGCCAGAATGCTAACCAAGATGCCCTGATGACCACTCTCAGGGTCGTGCATGGCCACTTCCTTCCCCAAAGCCTGAGGTCCCCACTGAGGGCAGTCTCAGAGTGCCCGGGCTCTCTGTGGGCTGGAAGGTGTGGAAGAGTGTGAGGGCAGTCACCTTTAGGTGACAGTATGGGAGGGGAAAGACAGAGGTGGCAGAAACAGAGAGAGGCCAAGAGAGGCACCTGCCTCTCATTCTCGTGCCCCAACCCAGGCTGGCTCACGCCTAGGGTGGGTCTGTTCCGCCGGGGTCCCTACTCTTGCCCCCTGGTGGGATCCTGCCTTGACTCCTCTCTCCTAAGTCCCCCCACCTGACTGCCTCAGATGCCCTCACCCCCACCCTGCACCCCAAATTCCTGGGGTTGGGAAATCGGAACATTTTTGCACCTGCCTCATCCCATTTCTCCCTCCCTTCCTGCAGCTCAGGCTCCCTCTGTTTCAACACAGACTCTCAGACTCACAATTACAGCTCATTACCCTATCGGTGGCTGACCCTGAGTCACTGTGGGGAGGGATTCTGGGCTGCCCAGCCCTGTCACCTTCTCCCAAGCTGCAGTATAAGGAGTCGTGGCAGGAGGAGGGCTCCGGAAGGCAGGGGAGTCTGGGACAGGAGAGAGAAGGCTGCAGACCTACAGGGAGGGAGAAGAAGAGTCAGAAGGAAGAAGAGGACGGAGGAGGGCGCGCCGAGGAAGAGACAGGGCAAGAAGAAGTAAAGTGGGCCAGGAAGAAGACACTTAGAAGAGAGAGGAGCGAGGCAGAGATGACATTACAGGGGTCGCTGGCCTGTCTCCTACTGGCCCTGTGCCTGGGCAGTGGGGATGCTGGCCCATTGCTGAGTGGAAAGGAGGATGCTGGAGCAGGTGTTGGGGAGGCCTTCGGACACTGGGTAGGAGAGGTCACTGGACATGGGGTGGGAAGTGCCATTAACTACGGAATCGAGGAGGCCATTGGCCACAGAATTAAGGAGGCCATGGGCCAAGGGGCTGGAGATGCAGCCAGCTATGGCATCAGGGAGGCCAGGAGCCCTGGGGTGGGGGAGGCTTTTGGCCATGGGGGTGGGGGGGCCATCAACCATGGGGTTGGAGGAGCAGCCCACACTCTAGGAAACCCTGGGAGTGAGGCTGGCAGACCGGCTGAGAATATAATTTGACCTGGAATAGACGCTGCCCACATCTCCTGGCAGGGGATGCTGGGCAGTAACGGTGCTTGGGTGAGCGGCTGGGAGCCCGTGTGGAAATGGGAGGCTGCAGGCAGCTGGGTTCAGAATCTTGGGAATCAGCTGAAAGGATGGAAAGGTCTCTTATTTGTGGGGCTGTGTGGGGCAGTTTCCTTCCATGTTGTGCATCCTTCCTCCTCCACCTTGGGGCCTCTCTCTAGTGCCTCTCCCTGTGTCCTGCTCCGGCTCCTCTCTGTCTTAGTCCCTCTGCCTGCGCTCTCCATCACAGACTGAGATGGTCACAGACTGAGTGCAGGCATGTGGTTCTTGTAGGGAACCAATGGCCAGCCCCCACCTGGAGGCTACAGCCAGGGCTATCCTGGTGGGCCTGTGACTCCCTGGGGCCAGGGACCCTTTGGAGGCGCGGATGGCAGCTCTGGAACCAACTCTCAGGGAGGCTCCTGGGGCCTCGGAGGCAACAGAGAGCCATCCACCTCTGAGGCCAGTGCTCAGGTAGAGTAACAGCCCCAGCCCTGACGCCTGCCCCCTTCAGGCCCACGCTCTCCGCGTCTCCCTTGTCCTTCTGGAGACCACACTCAGTTCATCCTCCCTGCAGGAAACTGAGGCTCAACCTGGTCCTGGCTCAGTGAGAAGCAGCAACCCACATACAGAGGTGAGAGTGAGGGTCTGGGGGAGGAGAGGGTGTCTGGGTGCGTGGGAGACAGAGGAGACGAAGGTGGGCGCTGAGGGAAGAGTCAGACTGGCTACAGAGGAGCCCGGCATGGAGAGGGCTCGAAGAGGGGAGGGAAATCAGCCAGGGATGGGGAGCAACACGCTGGGAAAGAAAGCCAAGCCACAGGGAGCAGGAGAGCCTTGCCCATGGTGAGGGCTTTGACCGAAGCCGTGAAAATCACCTGTCCCTTTCCTTCCACAGTGCACCAACCCCCCACCATCTGGCTCCGGCGGAAGCTCTGGCCACTTAGGGGTAAGAGGGCGGGGTACCTGAGGACTTCTGCACAGGAAGGGAACAGAGAGACCGCTCCCCACAGCCTGGGATGGGGAATCTGCCCGCGCAAGAGAGGAAGGAGCGGGAGGGAGGCAATCTTGGTGTTCTCATCTTTAGTCCTTGCTCTGGTTTCCTCTTGCCCCACAGGGAAGCAGCAGCAGCAGTGGCAGCAGTGGCAGCAGTGGTGGCAGCAGTGGCAGCGATGGCAGCAGTGGTAGCAGCAGCGGCAGCAGTGGAGGCAGCGGCAGCAGTGGCAGCAGTGGTGGCAGCAGTGGTGGCAGCAGTGGCAGCAGTGGTGGCAGCAGTGGCAGTGGTGGCAGCAGTGGTAGCAGCAGCGGCAGCAGTGGAGGCAGCGGCAGCAGTGGCAGCAGTGGTGGCAGCAGTGGTGGCAGCAGTGGCAGCAGTGGTGGCGGCAGTGGCAGCAGTGGTGGCAGCAGTGGCGGCAGCGGCAGCAGTGGTGGCAGTGGCAGTGGTGGCAGTGGCAGCAGTGGCAGCAGTGGTAGCAGTGGCAGCAGTGGTAGCAGTGGTGGCAGTGGTGGCAGTGGCAGCAGTGGCAGCAGTGGCAGTGGCAGCAGCAGTGGTGGCAGCAGTGGCAGCAGCAGCGACGGCAGTTCTGGGACCAGCTGGGTGAGTGCTGCTCTTTTGTTGAAAGCAGAGGTGGGCCTGAGGCCCTTGTTGGTCCCTGCTTAGCAGACACACTGCAAGGTCTTTCTGAAAGTGGCCAGCCCCGGGGTGGGTGGCATCACCGGCAGCGTCCTCCTCAGCTTCCGTTCCCCGCCTTCCCCGTTCCACCGCGCAGTGCTGCCTACATCTGCAGTCTGACTGTTCCAGAAGAGGTGCTCTGCCTGCTTCTGCTCCTCTGTCCCTTCTCTCTGCTCTGTCACAGCGGGATGCTCTATCTTCGTCTAACTGTGTCTGCAGTCGTGCCCACTGGCAAATCTGACTAGAGCTGGGGGTGGCGGGTAGAAGAAGAGAGATGGGCACAGAAAAACATGACACTTGTTTGGGAAGCTCCCAGGAGAATGGGGGCAGGCCTGCACACGTGGACAGTTAAGGACATTTACAGAGCTGTGATGTAGACCAACTAATAAATACGGTGTACACATGAGGCCCCTACACGGTGGGTGACAGGGCCAGCAGAGGACCACAACTTGGCAGCCGGCTTAGGGTGGAGCTCCAAGAGAGGGGGCCTGCAGAGAGGAGCACAGCTGGCTTCCTTGGGCCTCTGGAAAAGGTGTCAGGCAGAGGAGGAAAGTAACTAGAACAAGTCAGACATCATAAGCTCCACGGTACTACCCGCTTTGCCCTCCAGCTAGGACAGACCCTAGAAAATTCTAGGATTTTGATCAAAGCAGCTACTCGGGCTCCCAGGGAAGGATGCTAGGGATCCCTTCCTCTTTCTGGGCTCCAGGAAGAGGGTGAGGGGTGAGGAGAGGCAGGAGGAAGGCAGAGCGAGCCCAGGTGCCAGGCTCTGATGAAGTTAGGCCCCACAGGGCTTCCCACCCCTGGCAGGCGGTGGGGAGGGGGGGGCCAACTGTCCCACATTTCCAAATACACTGGGCCACACCTGGCCTTCTCTGTGTTCCGAACAACTTCCCTCAGTGACTGAGTGGCAAGATGGGAAGGTAAGGAGGTTGGGGAGAGGGGGTTAAAACAATCCTAACCCCGCTGGGAACTATTTGGCCCCTCCCAAGTCCCCTGAAGGTCCCACAGGGACTCTTGCTTTCCCTTGCAGGAATACAACACCGGCTCTTCCCCGGGGAGCAGCGGCGGAATCAGAGGTGGAAATAAGCCTGGGGTGAGTGTCTGCTGAGCGGTCACTGCACTGACCTCCATCGACCTGTGGGAGGAGAATGAGAGGCGCTGAGGCCCCTCGGATGATGTGGAGGGACAGCTGGGGCTGTGGCAGGGACCTAGGCCGGCCTCAGCACACGGCGGGCGGGGAAACGCTGCAAGCTGGAGGCTGGAACCCTTGCTGGGTGGGGACAGGGAGGAACGCCTCTCTTTCTCTCTCCCACAGTGTGACAACCCAGGGAACGAAGTGCACGTGTCCGGGGGATCCGGGGGTCAGGTGAGAGCCAAACTTGGGGTGACCGCACCTCCTCAGTGTGGCGGTGCCCCCTCCTCGTACCCCACCTCTGCTCGGCCCTGCTCTTAGCGCTAGCTCCATCCCAACACCATCTGGGAAATTTACAGTTAAGGGGGAAGAAGCTAAATGCATCTTGTAAAAATACTAACAACCTCCAAAGGAACAAGTCATTGCAAATCCTTAGGGGACATACCTCACTTGATAGTAGAGATTGGGCTGCAAAAAATCATATGAAAATGAGCCCTTTTAGAAAGCTAATTGTTTCAAATGTCCTATACCCAGCCAGTAAACAGAATCTGGTGACCTCTTTGACAGAGTTTGGAAACAGTGTTTGGAAGGCGTACATCTCCCTCCTCGTTATTCTGGAAATCTGGGCTCCTGTCAGCACCCACAGTGCTGACAGAGGCTGCGTTACGCGAATGTCCACAGGAACCTCCTAGAGGTCTTGTGAAAACGCAGGTTGTGACTCAGTAGGTCTCAGGTGGGGCCGGGAATCTGGTTTTAACCAGCTCCTGGGTGAGGCTGGTCCGGGTGCCGGTGTGAGTGTGGCCCACAGGGCGAGGAGTGGGCCTGAAGGGCAGAAGGCGGCGGTGGGTGGTGGCGCTCCTTAAGGAGGCTCTCTGAAGAGTTCCTGCAATGTCAGGGACACTGACCTTTTACGGATAGACAGATTTAAGAAAACTCCCAGTTTGTAACTCTATTTCCAGGTTTTTACATACCAAAGTCTTAAATATGCAGTGAGGGGAAAACCAACAAAGATAACAGAATGGTCAAGGGGATATGTCACAAAGCCACACTTGAGAAGGCAGTGTGGAGAAGTGGGAAAGTACTTAGAAGTTAAAAGAGTTAGAAGGCGAGGGTTCAAATGTCAGCTGTCTCACTTGTCATCTGTGCATCTCCAGGCAAGGCAGTTGACCTCTCTGAGCCTGGGCTTCCCCTTGGGTAAAATGAGGACAGGGAAGCCTAGCTTGCTCACCTCCCCCAGGTACTGCTGAGCTTTCTGCATTGTAACCAGACCAAGGTGGTTCAGAGTGCAGACAATAGAGTCTGACATGGAGGCAAGCTGCCAGGCAGCTCTCAGATTCCCTTTCCTCATCTGTGAAATGGAGACATCTCCACACAGAACACGGCAGGATACGGCACAGTGCTTGGCACATAGTGGGGCTACACATTAGCTACCAGCAGTGTTTTGGGGGCAGGGTGTGGGAGGAGGCAAGAATATCAATATGATTGAAGGGACTGGGTAGGGTTAGCCTAGGAGGAAAGCGGCACGTCATCCCAGGAAGGCTTTCTGGAGGTGGGGTCTCAGGTGCCATGTAAAGAAGGCAAGAAGGTGGCTTTAGAGAGAACACACAGAGCTGGAACAGAGGCAGAGACGGGTGGGCCAGGAGCAGGTGGATGACAGGATGCACGAGCCTTGAACATCAGTCCCTCTCTTCACCACTCGGCAGCGGCAGCCCAGCGGAGGAGGTGAAGCTGTCAGCGGAGTCGACACGCTGGTGAGTGGAGGCATCACGCCGCCTGGGGCAGGGACTGGGGTGTCCAGCAACGCCTGCCTCCCCTCCTGACACCCGCACCCCCTGCTGCGCCTGCTGCGTGCCACAAAGTGGGTTCTTACTTTCGCCCCTTTCTCCTCGGTTCCTCAGAACTCTCAGACGTCTCCTGGGCTCTTCAACTTTGACACTTTCTGGAAGGTGAGTTTGCAAGACTGCTCCGTTCACCTTCTTTTGGGAAACCGAGTCCCTGCCCCTTGGCCTCGTTCTATGATGACCGTTAGTGGCGGCCCCTGACCTCTCATCCTGAGGCCCTGAGCCAATTATGTTTTAACCCACTTTGGCCATTCTCCTTTTCTTCTCTGCAGAATTTTAAGTCCAAACTGGGTTTCATTAACTGGGACGCCATCAACAAGGTAAGGGCTGGCAGGTTGCGCCATCCTGATCTCCGTGGGCGAGGGACAGGGAGAAGCAAGTAGCCCTCTGCTCGGTGAGCCAGGCAGACAGTGAGGGTGGCTATGAAGACAGCACTGAGGCCAGTGCTAGAGAGAAGAAGGAAGGATCAAAACAAGGAGGAAGGACAGCAGAGACTGAAAAGAGAGGGAGAATTTGGAAGCAGCTGGGAGTGGGGACTGAGAAGAATGGCCTTTTTCACATCTCGGGTCTGAGGCTCAGGTTCCCCTTCGAGACCTGCAGGGTAAGGGGAGAGTAAGCGGGCCTAATCCTTGGGGAAGCAGAGGCCAGGGCAGGGGACAGACTGAACAGTCAGGTGGAGCTGGCAGGCCACACGAGGAGTGACCCCAAGAGAAGGGAGGGGAGGTGAAGACCTGCGAAGCGCACGATGGGGGCCAGGCGTTAGTCTGGGCCCGCACACACACTGTCTTAGCAGACAGCTGGGCCGAGAACCCCTTTCTCCTTCCTCCTGGCCCACCCCTTCCTCTCGCGGGGAACCCCTGGAAAGGCTGACTTGACACCAGAGTAGCAGAGGCACGTCCAGAGTCGAAGTGGACTTTTTGAAGGAGGGGATGAAGGGCAGAGAACGATCCAGACAAGGACGGAGGCAGAAGTGGCAGCTGGGGGCCCGCTCCCCGGCTTTGTTTGAGCCATTCTTTTTGTAAACACTATGAATTAGCTGCCAAACTTTAAAAATTCACATAATGACTTAGATTTCTGGCTTCTCTTGGAAAATTTGGCAACACTGGTTCCCCTCTTCCACGGGGCTGCAACAGACGAGTGCTGAGTAGGGCTGCTTCTTGCCAGGGACTTGCTCTCCAGCCACCACACTCCCCCTGCCCACTGCAGTCATTTTAGCACCCGACTGGCGCCATGAGCAGCTGAGTTTCTGACCCTGAATGTAAAAGAATGAAGACTAGAATCCCTGCCATCTGCCACTTGTCGGGGAAACGGGGTGGTGGTAGGTGGGGGAGGCGAAGAGACAGCCCAAACCTCAGGAAAGTCAAAGTCTGCCCTTCTGGGGACGAGGCGGGGAGGGACAGACAGGAGACGCAGAGGTCCCCGCTGCACGGGATTCTGGTTTGGAGAGCCAGATGGACACAGCAGACTGTTTCTGTGGTATACAGAACTGTATACAAGTGCTGCGGACCACCAGGAGGCCAGGCCCCTGAGCATGGGGACCTGGGAGTCTGATGGCAGAGCCAGGGTACAAACAGATGCTGCCCAGGGGGTCAGCACAGGCAGCCATGCAATTTTGCACATCTAGGGGGCAGGAAAGCGATTGCTCACAGTTAGTCTGGGGTCGCTTCCTGCTTTCGGGAGGAGCAGATCTAGAAAGGGGGGGCAGGACGGAGACGGGCAAAGAAGAGAATGGAGCCTTAGCTCCTTCACAGCAGGGAAAGGAGCTGAGGAAGAGTGGCAGCAGGGGCACTGTACCTAACATTCTTGGCAAGTATGGGGGTTTTCAAACCCATGTCAAGATATCCGGATTTGACTGGATGACAGCCGCGAGCAAAAAGGTGCCTGCAGGTTTCTGGAGCAAGGGGTCCAATCGACCCTTGCCTTGGCCCACCGCTCTCTGAATCCCTGTTCCCTCAGCTCCCCCTTAGAACTTATTTCTTTGCCCAGGACCAGAGGAGCTTTCGCACCCCGTGACCTCCAGACACGGAGCTACCAGATGGATGGGAGCCCCCCCACTCCTTCTTAAAACACCACTATCTCACCACTAATCCCAATCCTTGCCCTCAAAATAAATCTTAGTGCTCCCACTCCTGGTCTCTGCTCCTTTCTTCCGTCTCCACTGTTGGTCCTGGGCGGTTTGAAGGGTTGACTCCAGCCCCACAGCTTTGGGAAGCAGGCGGGAGGGCACACGGCAGGTGAGAGGCAGGGAGCTCTGGGCAGCTCCTGGTCCCGAGGTTTTGCTACAATTAAGTTCTGCCGGAGGCTGGGAGACTGGGCTAGAGAAGAACGCTGCGAACGTGCTGGGGAGGGAGGGCTGGTCAGTGGCTCCAGAGATCCAGCCTCTCTCTCCCTCTGTTTCCAAAAATGGTTTTCTAGAGTCCTCGAAGACCCCCAGCTTTCCTGCAAACCTTAGTCGCGGTGAAATTCTGAAGGCTGAGGGATGGTGGTAGTGGGAGTAGGGCTCGAATGAGCAGGGGTCCGGCTCCCCCCTAACTGGCTCCCCACCTTTCATCCACAGGGCCAAGCCCCAGCCCCCAACACTCGAGCCCTCCTCTACTTCAGGCGACTCTGGGAGGTAGGAGCATTCTCGCTTCTGGAAGAACTGGGGATCCTGGTCATGCCGCCCCCTCCAGAGCTCCCTCCAGGCAGCCACCTCGGCTCCAGCCTACCCACCACCTCTTCTCATTCTGGAGACCAATGCTCTCCCTTAAGTCTCATCAATATCACCATCCCACATTTTACCCCTCAATCTCCTGCAGCTCGTCTCCATCTAACCCCAAACCACACCCAGGCTCCAAAGCCCACTCTTGCCCTTGAAGCTTCCCTGACAAGCTGCCACACCTGACCCTCTGCATTCTGTCTCCCGGTGGCCCACTCATCTCTCCTTCTCCCTCCAGGATTTCAAACGTAACACTCCTTTCTTGAACTGGAAAGAAATTACTGAGGTAAGGGCGGCAGAACCTCTCGTTTTGGGGTCAGGAAGCTCAGCTCTGGGGACACGGGGCTCTGGGCCCTAGGCAAGGGCTTGCAGATTCTATCCCATTTCCTCACCCTCCCTGCTGGGGGAGGGTGCCTCCTTCCCTTCCCACTTTCCTCCTTTGTGCAACACTAAGCGAAGGTGGGGTGGGAGAGAGAAGCTGTGAGTCACTGAAGGAGGACAGGGTGGGAGGTCCTGCCGAGGATAAAAGCCGAGCCTGAGGGTTGGGGCCTCCCAGGCACGGGAACATGAAGCCAGCCACTGTCTCCGCTCTGCTGCTGTCCCTGCTGGGCTTGGCCTGGCTTGGGGGGAGCCACAGCTGGGTGTGTACTATACCGCGGGGTGAGCAGGTGGAGGGGACCACGAGGGCAGGAAGAGGGAGGCACCTGGAGCTGGGGTCTATTCTCCGGACTGGAAAGGGGGCACTGGGAGGAAAGCTGAAGGGAAACAGGAAGGCAATATGCATGGGGGGAGGGGTCAGGTCACTGTCAAGGGCAGACAGGTGCAGAAGGCCTGAACATCTGGCTTCTGGGAAGGATGAGCAGGCCCTCTGGGTCCTGCAGGAGGCCCCACGGCCAGTGGCCTTTGGGAACCAGGCCCCATGGGCACTGAGGCAGGCTTGCCCACTCACTCGTCCATGTGGGCCAGGCTTGGGAGGCTGGACAGGCGGGGTAATGCGCAGGGGGAGGTCCAGGGCCCCCAGCTGAGTTTGTCATGTGCTCACATAGGACCAGTGTGACCATGTCACCTGATTCTTTAAGAAAACCTAGAAATTTGATTTTCAATTGTTTACAACCAATTTAATGATAAAATGCAGACCAAGCGAAAAATATTTGGAGGCCTGTGGCCAGTCAGTTTGTGATCTCATCTCAGTTTTAGGGCTACTAGTGGGGTTAACATGCAAGGTCAGGTAAGGGTAAGGTGGAGCTCAGTCAGTCAGAAAGAACATCCCAGGCCTGTGTGGTAGGGGTGGGGGAGAGCGCTCAGTGGAGAAGCAATGATGGCCTATGAGGGGAGCAGGGGTGAGTGCTGGCGAAGGTGGGCTGGGGCAGAGATGCCTGGGTCTGTGCCCGAGAGTGTGTGTGGGCGCCACTCAGGTGTTGTTCCAGCTCTGTCTTAGGCCGGCCTATCACGGCTCTAGGTACATGGGCGGGGGTGGTGTTGCCCAACCCGTTCCCCACCTGCGCTCCCCAACACCGAGTGTGGAAATGTGTCATGTATCTGGGCCATCAGTTTCCTTGGGGCTCACTGCCTTCTCTGTAGGCAGTGCTCATCACAGACCACCAAGAGGGGCGCGGGGTGGGGGGGGGGGGGGGGGTGCCAGGCTGGTGCTCCAAAACGAGGGCAGAGCCCAGGCAGCAGGGTGCTGGGACCCGGCAAGGCTGGTCACGCCTGAAGGGCCACAGAGACACCCTCTCCCCTCCAGGGTGCTGACGTGACCTCGCTCCAGAAGAGGGCCGGCGGCGCAGGTCAGGTGAGTCTCTGCCCTCAGGCGGCTCTCAAAGGGCCTGGGTCCCTCTTGGTCTCGTTCTGGATCTGCCCAATCTGAAATTCTCTTTCCTTCACCCCTGATTCTGCGGTTTGCTCAGCCCGGCTCAGGATGGCAAGACGCGGCAGCCGTAACTTCTAAGGTGAGATACCCTCCCTGACCACCTGGGTTAGACTTCACCTCTTCCCTTGGTTTCCTTCCCTCACCTTCCCGGGACACTGAGGAGGTGGGTGAGGGGCCCAGAGAAGAGGAGGCAGGGCCCGTAATGCGGGCAGAGGGTGCTGGCTCTGGCTGGCAAAGGAGGTGACCCAAGGAGGGAGAAGAGCCGAGAAGGGCCAGCCAGGGCAGAGAGGCGGGTGTGTACTCCAGAGCAAAACGCCTCCTCCCTTCTCTCTGGCCCCGACTACCCACGCCTCCCACTTTCTTCTGCAGAACAATTATAACCAGCAGGCATATCCTACAGTCCCTGGTGGGCAGTCTGCCGCCAAGATCCCCCCTAAGGTAAGACTTGCAACTGCCCTGTTCCCCGGGTCTGCACGGGGCGGGAGGGGAGCTGTCACTCCAGGGCCTCTGCACGGGTCAGCTGAGGCCGAATCCTGTTCCCTTTGAGAGGTGTGCCTCTCCCACCTTCATAGGGAGCCCCAGGTTCCCTGAGAGCAGTTTGGAAGTAGAGGGGAGAATGTTCTAGGTGCTTCACACCCACCCAAGGTTACAAGGGAGCAGTGGCCGCATCACCTGCCACAGAGAACACTGGGGACCAGTATCCTCTCATGGGGAATATATAGCTCCAAAAAATCACAGGACACATGACAAACAGCCCTTCATAGCATCCGTCTCCACCTCTCTAACTGCTGACCTTTGTGGGGGCGGGCTGGGGGACAGGAAGGCACACTAGCAGTTAGGGGAAGCTGGTCCTGGAACTCCTGGTTGGTGGGAAAATAAATGCTTCCTTCCACAAAGGGAATAACAGGAAAGACATTTGAGAATGTCTTGTTCCGTTGCAAAGGCAATCTTATAAATTCAGTAAATGAATGCGCCAAATACTATGAGGCTGGTGAAGAAGACAGGACGGTATTTCCCTCCATCTCTCAGCACAACAAAGCCCTGCCCTGGGGACGGGCACTGAGAGAGCAGAAAGCATCCAGTTGGCTGAGAAGCAAAGATGTAGCTAACACACCTAAGGGATCCACTGGCCAATCATTTGTGGCCAATGTCTATCCCCCCAGCAGCAGAGCGAGACCCACCCACCCTCTTGCCCTCGCCTTGGTCAGCGTGTGCTCAGGGACCACATTCAATATCATCTTGGGTAAAATGTACTTAGGATGATAAATCTGCTGCGAAAACAAAACCGTGGGCTCCATGTCCGCAGCCCGACCAAAGGGCCTTTGGGATACTCCTGGTCTGAGCCTGCCCGTGCCACAGGGCCCCTCCTGAGCCCTGAGGCCATGGCAGAGTACACAGAGGTCACTGGAGCCCCCGCATCATCTGCTCTGATCTTCTCTTTACAGGGGGGAGCCACGATTTCTTCCTCGGTAAGTACTGGGGCAAGAAAATGCGGCTTGTGGGAGAAGGGGTCTGAGGCCAGAGGGTGTGCAGGGGACAGTGCGATGTCCACTCAGACATTCTCCTTGCCCTGCAGGCTTCCCGGGCGCAACCTGGCATGCTGCAGTGGGTGAAGTTTTGGTGGTGAGTGTCGGAGTGAGCGGGGCAAGGCTGGTCCCAGGGGCTGAGGCACCTCGCCCCTGAGGGCTGGGGTCCTTGCTCTGGGTGATGCTCTCAAGGTGTTAAGGGGGAGGGCACCCCAGCGTGGAGAAAGACTCATGAGGAAATGATGGAGGACACTTGGAAAGCACACTCTGGGTGCTGGGTGAAGGCCCGACAGAGGAGGGACCACGCACGGACAGCTATGAGGAGGAGAACGGCGGCGCTGGGCTAAGGAGGCGGGACAGGAACTGCATGGGGGACGGAGGGAGGAGAGCCTGTCAGCGGTAAAGGCTCAGGGGCAGGAGGAAGGGAGCGGCCAGTCGGGGAGAGGTAGCAGATTAACCCGGCAGAATCACAAAATCTGTTTCAGGGAGGAGAAGTGAGGGGAAGCGCAGCTGCAATGGGTGGAACACGAAGAGGCTGTGGGGCACAGAGGCCAGAGGAAAGGACGCTTGGTCTCAACAGATTTGGGAGTGGACACATTCTACCATTCGCTCTTTTCTTTTCTTCTAGAAAATTATCTCCAGTCATGGCTGAGGCCCTGAGAAACAGCAGTCGGCTCTGCCCCTCGCCCAGCTCTCTCCCTGTGCCCCGCCTGGTCTGGGTGCTGACACCTGCTTTCTCTAGGTTGGGGACCTGGCCCGTCTGTCCCTTGTTTCTTCCTACCCCACTGTGTCTCCTTGACCACCAGCCTCGTCGGACAAACCGGCCACTTTCTTCACCCACTCTGTTTGTGACCTGGAGTCACTGTGACTTTCTTCAGGAGCTTCCTATTTTGGAGTGTCTCTGTGGAAATAAAAATGAACCCTGTTTCCCCAAGACTTTCTCGAACTTTATTATTTATGTTGGTGGCCTGGATCAGGCAGGATGGAAGAGTGACTTAGGGCAGATAATTCGCCTTCCTCCTGGGGTTGGTGAGGGCAGAGAGAGAGCAGGCCTGCGTAGTCCTGATGAGAAGTAGCTAGCTCGCCCCCCTGGGCCTGTGTCTCTCCCTGTAAAAATCATCTCTGCCCAACCCACATCTGAATACCATGCTTTCTGGAAACAGTCAGAGGTGCTCTGGTTGCCTGAAAAAGCCACGAGGGAGGTATTCAGGTCAGGAGGTGGGAGTGAGGAGGCTGTTCCAAGAGAGGAGACCAGCCCCAGAGGCGGGGGAGAGGGCAGGGACCCGGAGCAGGGGCTGGGAGAGAAGGCCCCTCAGCCTCACAAACACGTGCAGTGCGTCAGTGCGGGTGACAGGACAGTTGGGGGAGCGGGTCACACCCAGTGCCTTATCATCTGCAGCGGCTCTGTGTCTCCAGGACACGGAGGGGGCGCGGAACCCTTCCACTCCATCAAGGTGCCAATGCAGCAGGCAGAGGTTCCAGGCTCAGGCTGAGCCCAGGTTTATCACAAGCGGAGGAGCCCTGGGGACGAGGCTGGAGAGTCTGCATTAGTCTCTGAGCGAAAGTCCCAGCTGGCCTGTACAGTGTACCCCAATTAACAAGCCCCCATCATTCCTCCCCACGTCCCTGCGGGGAACGCCAAGTAAAAGGAGGCCATGAAGCACCCGCCAGCCTGAGCGACTCCCTCCGAGATCACAAGTTCCTTGAGGGCACGACCCCTGCCTGCCTTGGTCATCGCTCCATCCCAGCATCTGGTACAGGATGGGCCTCAAACAGCTGATGAATCAATGAAAGAAACCTGGCCCCAGATGGACTTTGGGGAACCCACTTGATCAAACCCACCAGAATAGGAGAAAGATGAGGACGACGACTCTGCTTACTTCTATCCTGAAGCTGGGGCTACTGCTTTGTACTCATCTTGGGTTTCAGCTGTGTAGGGAGGGCCTTGCAGTACCTCCTCACAGCCACCAGGAGGAGGACACGGCCGTCCCAGGGTGGACACTCAGTCCCTCCAGCTGTCATCTGGCTTCCTGGAGCATGGGTGAGGGCTCAGAAATAGGGGCCACTCAGGTCTTCCCGAGCCCGGCCCTGAGGGAGAAGCTGAGGTGGTCAGCACGGCTCTAGAGTCCTGGGAGGTCTTGGTCCGAAGGCAGAGAGCAGCTCTTTACAGTTTACAGTACTGCCCGAAGCAGGCCCAGGCCCCGTGGTGCGACAGCCTCTGAGAAAAGGGAGGGCCACCCCTTTCTCCTGCCTGCGCCTCGGAAGCAGCTTCCCAGCATCCTGATTTTCTTTTTCTCCCTAAAATCCATTCTCCCATGACAGCCAGGGAGGATCCCCTACGAGCTTTTCATCAGTCCTAGAACGAAACCCCTACTCCTTGCTGTGGCTCGGGTAACCTGGCTCTGGCCTCCCTCTCCGTGTCATCCGGCCCTGCTGGCAAAGGCTGTGGAGCACACTGCTGGCACCTGCCCCTGGGACCCGGCTCTCCAGGAGCTGCAGCTCTCACTGCTCAGGGCTCCACTCGAAGCCACCTCCCCAGCCCGCTGAACGGAGGCGACCTCCTCAGTCACCAACACAGCGCCTGCTCCTTTCCCTCACACAGCGGTCACTCTCCAAAACCATCTGGTTTCCTAACATTTTGTTAGGTTATGATCTGTTTCCTCCACTGGAGCCTGAGCTCCCAGGGCAGGCATCTCGTCCATCTTCAATTCCCAGCACCAAGAGCCAGAGCGGCGGTTCAGTAAATATTTGTGAATGACAGAATGGAAGGAGGGGCAGAATGAAGTGGGCTCAACCCAGGAAGTCTTCCTGGGAGAAGTTTAAGCAAAGGGTACATGGGGACAGAGGGTGGGCGGCACAGGAAGAAACCAGACCCGATGGGTGGCGTGGCTGCTTCCTTAGGTGTGATGGCACCACCGACAGAGGGAGGAAAGGATGGGGCGGGGTGCCCTGCTGTCTGACTGCCCTTACCCCACACCCCAGCCCCCTGTCTCTCCAAGGAGTCTGGGCGCTTCACCGAGGCGTTCACAAGGCCCCAAGGCCCCATTGTGCATGCCTTCAAGCCCCCCATCCCCCGGAACCCAGAGGGCCGGCTCCCAGCCCCTAGGTGTGTCTGTGATGTAGCAATCAGGGTTGGGCCTCACCTCCTGCCCACACTCAAGTTCTGGCAGATTTGGGGTGGGGTTGGGGCAGGCCTGAGGAAAAACAGGGGTTCACTGGGATTCTCAGAGAGGGAATGGGGAGATCAGGCAGACCTGGAGATGGGCTGGTGCAGAGCCAGGCTCGGTGACTGCCCGACTCCACGAACCTTATGCGACGCAGCCAAAGCAAAGCTGAATCCTGGGTGCATTCTCCTGCCCCCACTACATGACTGCAGGGACCTTCTCCCACTGAGGGTCGCTTAGCCGTTCCTCCCCCTCCTGCCCAACCACCGGACACTGGACACTCAGGGAACACAAACGCATGAGGTGGTACGAGGGGGGAGGGGGATTTGGAGAGAGACACTGACTCTCAAGTTAGCACGGGCAGCATAGGTCATGGAAAGCTGAAATGACATTTGAAAGCCCATCAGGAAGGTACCGAATGGGGAAAAACCCTGAGTCCCATACGGCCAACTTTTCTCCAGCATTAGAACTGAATTTCTTTGGTTGTGCACGTGAAGTGGTTGGCTTGTGTTTAGAGGCATTACACAAAAGTGCCTATCTTGAAACACTAGAACTTTAAACACTAGAACACTGCTTTAAACACATCCTTGGTATGGCAAGATGCTCATCCTAGAAGAGGCATCTGGAAACTGGGGCAACTGCAGGGGCATATGCTCACTGAGGGCCATTAATCTCTCAGTTCTGTTTTCATTTTGCCAAGAGTGTACAGTTTACTTCATTGAAATTGATGCATGTGTGCTCGGAGCTGCCACTTATGCCTGTGGAAGCTGTACACCACAAAAGGACACCTGGCCAAGGGGGCTAATGGGGACGGAATGCAGCCTGCACCCCAACTCGCAGGGCGTGCGTTGAATTCACACCGGGTGCTACGTGGGCTGGCCGAGGCCCTTTGTAGGACCCTACTCCACAGCAGAGCAAAGGAGCAGGCTCTGGAGTCCTCGGGTTCAGACACTGGTCCTGCCACATGCTAGCTGTGTGACCTGGGCTGAGTTAAATAACCTGTGCATGCTGTGGTTCCCCTGCCTATAGAAGATGGACGATCACAGTACCCCCCCCTCACAGAATCACTGTGATGTCTCAATCAGATCTGCAGTCAGAGCCTTTAGCACAAGGCCTGCTACATAGCAAGACATCAATAAACTGGCTAACATTATCATTAGTAGCATTAGCATTAGGTGGAGAGGAAAACAGAAGGAAGTTCATTTGTTGCAAAAGAAATCTGGAGCCAACATGGAGATGGTGTTTGGATCATGTGTTGCTTTGGATTGCGCATGCCAGTGTTCCTCCATCAGCACGCCTAATGGAGCTGATTATACAATATCAATATATAGTTCTCCTGTGTTGATCATTCTTTTGCTCCTGGAGTTGACCCCATGCTGACAAAATGGTGGTTAATGAGCTCCTTCAGTCACTGTTAATTAATTGGTAAGAATCACTACACGTGAAAACTTGTGTCCTACAGAAAACCTTTGGGGAGGTGCCCCACCCACTGCAGTCATTTGCTCACTTGTCCCCTCCAGGAGCACCAACCGCACACGAGGTCCACCGGACATGGTCATCTGTGCTTAGCCAGTGTTCCTCAAGCACTGTCTCCTCAGGGAGCTCTGCAAAGGGGAGATGCCATCGTAAAAAGAGAGGAGGCTTCCTGAGGCTAAAGATGGGCAGGACATCAGGGACTGGGGTGTGGGGGCAGCAGCAGAGCTGAACTGAAATGCCAGCTTCTGGGGTTCATGAAGATTGTTCACGAAGGACTTCTAGCCCTCCCACCCTCGGCCTGCCATCTGTGCATTGCATCAGGTTGGGGTGAAGAGGCCCACTCTTGAACAAGCTCTTGCTTTGTCCCGGCAGCACCAGTCTAGGTTCCAGCACCGCCCTATTACAACAGGAACCGGTTGGGCCACCTGAACCTCACTTCGGAGAAGGCTGCTTGATTAGGATGTTTTGTCACTTTGAGGCAATACAACTCCCTGCTGGGGGGTGGGGGAGTGGGGAGTGGGATAAGCTCAATGAAATGGAGCAGCACTCAAAGTTCTGCACCTCGAGCCCATCTCCAGTTGGGTACTTCTAAGACCTGTTTTCGCTTTTTTGTGTTTCTCTATTCCTTGTCTTCTTAGCTCAAGACAGTCTTTTCTCTGAAGACCTAAAAGCAAAAGATGGGGAGCTGGATAATGGGAGGGGTCCAGTCCCAAAGGAGGAAAAGATATGACTTGGTGGAAGGATGCTTGAAATCTAACATGTCCAGTCTATCAACTGTTGGCTCCACCAGCACTCTGTGAAAGGCACAGTTCTAGGGGAATAGAAAGGTGATTAAGATAGTTTCTGACCTCAAGGAAGTTAATATTCTAAGAGGGAAATAAAAGAAGAACCATGGTATGATGCTGGAGAGACACAATGAGTTGCTATGGCAATTCTGAGAAGGGTGGATGTTGGATTCTGAGACCTGGAGATGAGAGAAGGGCAACTGAGGTATAAAGAAGAACATGGGCAGATGCTTGGAGGAGGAAAAGGAAGGGTATACTTGGTAAAGAGTTCAATTTGGCCAGAACGTGAGATATGTGCGAAGGGAATAAAAGAAAAAGTCAGAAAGGCAGCTAGAGGCCAGAACGTGGAATGCCTTCAATGCCAGCCTAGGGAGTTTAGACAGAATAGGGTAGGGTGGAAAAAGGCCTGAATTATAAGAGAAGAACGTGGGCCAGCCCCATGGCATAGTGGTTAAGTTCGTGTGCTGTGCTTTGGTGGCCTTTGGCGGCCCGGGGTTTGCAGGGACGGATC